GGGGGGGGGGGACTTCTCCAATGAATTGATATACAAAAGACACAAAACAGCACACGCATTATATGTGTGCACCATAATATACAATATTTCACGGCATGGTCTACTTTCCAGCAAAAATAAAACAAAAGTTATTCCGAATAAGGAGTGCATAATATTAACACACAATTTATTAAAACTGTATATTTGGAATCTAAATCTGATTCATCTTCAGCAGTGTTTGCAAGATATGTCGTTATATTACAAGCGTGAGCAATTTTAAACAAGCTAGCGTGCGCAAAAGTGCGTAAGCAATCAATAGCGTTTATTCGTGATCATGCAACCTCGTACCCAGGGCTTCTGCGCTTATTGCTCTGAGAGCAATAAGCGCAGAAGCCCTGGGTACGAGGTTGGTGATCATCCTGGTAAAACAATAAGGGAACCGACTCAAGATACACTTCTGCTGTACCTTCTTATTCTGTGACGTAGTTCTTCATTCAGCGCACGTTAATCAATTAAACAACTGCAACTCTCTATAATGTAACAACAGCTATGATATAGGCAAGACTGACCGAACGCTTCTAGAACGGGTAAAGGAACATGCGTACAAAGACAAGGAAAGTGCTGTGTACAAACACTTAGACTGCTGCTACGACAGAACATTCTTGACATCATAATCTAACACACAACTGACAGAACTTGTACTCTCAAGCACTAAGGTCATTGATTCTTCCAGAAACTGGAATTTATTACTATACAAAGAAGCGCTACATATTAAAAGACGTAAATCAAGTCTTAATAGTGGACTGAAAGCTGGTAGAGAGTTCACAGATGAGGTAAATACAGATATGAATCTCCCGTCAAATTGCTGATTGTTTTGTGTCACACGGAATTCGCACTTCCGGCGAGCGCTGGCAAGTGTCGTTCTGGGGCCGGTTGTATAAAACTCTTAATCACTTTTTTAATCACTCTTTTGTAGTTAAATAGTGATTAACTCTTAAATAGGCGCTTCTTATTGGATGATGTTTGCACTTAATCATACTTAACTTTAATCACTTTTTTATACAACCGGCCCCTGAAATTTAATAAGGAAAATAATAGGAAAACGCCGTTCGAAAGACGAAAAATTGTTTTTTTTAAAAAATCTGCGCCACCGACGGCTATTTTTGGAATGAATTCTTCAAGAGTAACGGTAAGCGATCACTTTTATTGATTTTCTTTTATATTAAAAGTGTTAACATAACATTTTATTTAGCAAAAGTTTGTTTTTTCCCCTATCTACTCCTTATTAAAATCGTGAAATACACTTGCTGGGAATTTCAGATGCTCATGTATTATAAATCAAAAGACAAAACAGCGAATGATATAAATTCCTCAAAATATAACTCTCGCATAAAAAAAGCATGAATACTTCTATAATATGTATAGTTTTATTTCTTTGCATTATCAAAATTTAATAAAATAGTGAATTAATATAATTTTAAAGTTTATTTGATCGGTGTGACATAATTTGCCGCGAGATTCGTCTCTGTACATG